AACAACGAGCTCTGTGCACGTACTATAAGCAAGTTATCTTCTGATAAATCCAAATACGTGGTGCCCTCGCCAGGTCAATACTGGGCATGTAACACCGGGATTACCCTATGTGTTTCAGTAGCTACCTTTAACCAGTCTAAAGATTTTTGTGTCCTAGTCAAGATCTATCCCAGGCTACTCTATTATTCTACAGAGGAATTCGAAGGACATTTCATGGGAAGGACCCAATTCTCCCGAGAACCTGTTAGCATTACCCTGGCTGTTCTATTAGGGGCAGGAGTATTGGCAGGGGTTGAAACTGGGGCTGCAGCCTTGATTGAAGGTCCCAGACAGTTGGGGATCCTAGAAGCCACAATACAGCAAGATCTGAGGGCAATAGAAACCTCTGTAACTGCTTTAGAAAAATCTTTAACCTCCTTATCAGAGGTAGTATTGCAAAATAGATGGGGTCTGGACTTATTGTTCTTAAAGGAAGAAGGGCTTTGTGCTGCCCTAAAAGAAAATTGTTGCTTTTACACAGATCATACAGGGGTAGTAAGGGAATCCATGACAAAACTCAGAGAAAGACTAGATGCATGGGAAAGATCCCTGCGGAGCTCCCAAGGTTGGTTTGAAAGTTGGTTTAATAAGTCGCCTTGGTTAACTACTATATTATCCTCGATAGCCGGCCCCTTGATTGTGCTTCTGTTGATTTTAACGTTTGGACCCTGCATATTCAACAGATTAATGCAGTTTATAAAGCAGAGGCTGTCCGTAATACAAACTATGGTCCTTACGCAGCAATACCATTTGCTCCAGCAACATGTTGAGCCGTCAGCCGAGCTAGTGTTGGAATCTGAGCACGAGGATCAATGGATATAAGATTATATCCACGATATAGAAAAAGGGGGGAATGAAAGACTGCAGGGCCCCTCACCCAACGTTAAGAATTCTAAACCCCGCGCCCTCTAGAACGTCCCCAGGCGCAAGCACTCCCCAGCCACACGTAGCCTTCCCCAGCCGCACGTAGCTCTCCCCGAATGCATGTATCACTCCAAACGCTATACAATGCCACCGCCAGATGTTCCATATAGATAATCCTGGGAAAGACCAGCCTGAGGAAATAGGGTAAAAACGGGAACAATGAAGGTAAAAACGGGAACAATGAAGGTAAAAACGGGAACAATGAGGGTAAAAATGGGAATAATAAGGACGGGAGGTAATTTATGGGTTTCTTTTCTGAGGACGTAAAGTGGAAGAAAAACAAGTTTACCCCCCAGGTGACCCCAGGACTGAATTCTGAGGAACCTATAGAATGGCTGTTGCTGTGCTGAGCTGAAAACTGACCCCCGCTCCCTATAAAAACTCTGTACCCCCGAGCCCGGGTGTGCAAGCCACCGAAGCTACGGCCTAGGTTTTGCTGTGCACCCATGGGCGCCTGTGAATAAAGCCTCTGCGGTTGCATCCAGTGTCTCGCGTGCTCCATTCTGGATTGGGGTCTCGGGGTCTTTCAATTGAACTTCTCAAATTCTTTTGGTGCTCTTGATAAGACAGGCGAGATCAGCCAGCCATCCCAGCAGCTTAAGAGGCTTAGGTAGGAAGATCACAAGTTAGAGGCCAGCCTCAGCAACTTTGTGATGCCCTGAGCAACTCAGTGAGACTCTGTTTCTAAATAAAATATAAAAGGGCTGGGTTTGGTGCTCAGTGGTCAAGGGCTCCTAGGTTCCATCTCTAGTACCCAAATAAATAATGAATAAATAAATAAAAAGGCTAAGAAGTCTACTTGGGGAGATTTTGTTTTAATGCTGAAGGAAAGAAAATGCAATGGGAGGCTGCAGCATTTGGAAATGGGGAGATGTCATGGGACCCTGTTTCATTGCCCACAGCTATCTGATTTCCTGGTTACTGGCTTTGTGTGTTCCTGCAGTGCCTCTATGAGGGACTGGCTCTGCCTCTTGATCTTCCCCAGCAGGTCCCTGTAAGCACTCAATTATGGGTCTCTCTCTCTCTTTTCTCTGTCTCTCTTGAGACCATTGCCACTGAGCCACCACCAGCCCCTGTGTGCCACTAATGCTGAACCAAAAAGTTCCAATTCTGAACTGTGTCCAGAAGCTAAGCTTTGTGTCACATTGAACTTAGGCTTTTTATTTTTTTTATATTTTGGTACCAGGGATTGAATCCAGGGGCACTTCACCACTGAGCCCCGTCCCCAGTCCTTTTTATATTTTATGTAGAGTCAGGGTCTTGCTGAGTTGCCAAGGCTGGCCTCCAACTCTCAATCCTCCTGCCCTAGCCTCCTGAGGTGCTGGGATTATACGTGTGCACAACCACACCTGGGTTTTACGTTTAAAATCTTTCTCTCTATTGTTTTTTCTTCATTTATCATTTTCTTTTCCCTTTTCATTTTCTATTTTTCAGGGTCTCACTATGTTTCCCAGGAACTCCTGTAACTCCTGGGTTCAAACCATCCTTTTACCTCAGTATGCTGAGTAACTATGGCTACAGATGTGTGCTATGGTGCCTGGCTTACTTTTCCTTATTTAAACATGTGCCAGTAATTTTATTTAACTCATTAATTAAACATATAAACCATATTCCAACAGCTCAGAAGGCTGAGACAGGAGGATAGCAAGTTGTAGGCCAGCCTCAGCAACTTAGCCAGACCCTGGGCAACTCAGTGAGATGCTATCTCTAAATAAAATATAAAAGGGGCTGGGGATGGGGCTCAGGGGTTGAGGGCCCTAGAATTCCATTCCAAAAAGAACCAAAAAATGTGACCAATAAGATATCACAACCTTTCAAATACCTGAATATTATTATTTTTAAAAACTTAAAATAAAAAAAAAACACCATTTTTCTGGGCTAGGATAGGGGCTCAGTGGCAGAGCACCCACCTAGCATGTTTCATGCCCTGGGTTCCATCCTCAGCACCACGTAAATATTTTTTTTAAAAGTTATTGTGTCTATCTACAACTGAAAAAAAAATAATTACAAAAATTTTCTGTGAGACAAAAACTTGATAAAATGGCATTCACACAGATGCTTGTATTTCAGTGGCCCAGCAGAATCTGAAATGCTTTAAAATTTGAAAAAGTATAGGTCACCAGGCACATTTGATGGGAGTTGCCCTTGGGATGGGGGTATTGGGGGCTTT